ATCTCCATTCGACCTTGTTCTCTATCAGTCTAGTTCTCTTCCAATAACCAATACTGGTTTTTATGTATCCTTCTTTATGAAATATTACTATATATTATTACTCACGCCTCCCTCCCCACCTTTATTTTATTTTTTTAGCACCTTGCTACTGGTGCACTTGCTTTACCCTGCTTTACTATATGCATTAGGCAGAATGATGCCCTCCCCTCCCCTGCTCAATGTCCATATCCTAATCCCTGGAACCTGTGAATATGTTACTTTATGTGGCAAAAGGGATTCTGCAGATATGATTAAGGTTAAGGATTTGAGATGGGGAGATTAGCCTGAATTGTCCAGATGGGCCCAGACCCAATCTCATCAAATGGATCCTTAAAATCAGAGAATCTTTCCTGGTTGTGGTCAGAGCAAGGTGTGACAAGAGGTCAGAGAGACATGGCAATGCTGGCTGTGAAGCTGAAGGGAGGGGCCACAAGCCAAGGAAGGAGGACAGCTTCTAGAAGCTGGAAAAGGCAAGGAAATGCGTTTTCCCTTAGAAACCTCCAGAAGAGAAGGCAGCCCTGCTGATACCTTGATTTTAGGCCAGTGAGACCCAAATGTTGGATTTTTGACCTACAGAAATGTAATATAATAAATATGTGTATTCAAGCTTATGGTAATTTGTTACAGCAACAATAGAAATCTACCACATCGTATTTCTGTATGGAGATATTTCTGTATCAGGGTAGAAACTGCAGAAGCATTAGTCCCTCAGTTATACATAGGGTCTAGTGTCTGACAGATCTGGGCTTAAGTCTCAGCTCTGTCACATATTTGCTGTGCAAGTATGGGCAAGTTGCACCACCTCTCTGAGCCTGTCTCTTTGTCTGTAAAAAGGCAATAAGAGCACCTGCCTCATAGGGTTGCTCTGAGGGTTAAATCATATAACACATTGAAAACATTGAGCACAGTGCCTGGCACATAGTAAATGTTCAAAAATTAACAGCTGTTAATAATACTGTTAACCTTATCACTATAACAAGGAGCTTTCCTTGGGCTCTTCGTATCTCATTGGTTTTTCATTTGATTCCTTGTAGATTGAGGAGACAGAACATAAAATATCTCTAGTTTCTGCAGCAAATGGCTCCTCTTGTGAACTTACTTCCGTTTGTGTGCGAGCCCTACTTCCCCTGACAGTGGTCAGCAGAGTGAGGGCGGGGGCTCTGTTCAGTCATCTCCACACTGGGTATTTAGGATTGCATACTGCCTGAAGGATTGATCCATTAATAGGCAGCTTCCTAGAGATTGCACTTTCACTCTTTCCAAAGTTGAGGTTCCTTCCTTGCCATGCTAAAGACATGTCAAGGGCACAATTGGACCCTTTAGGCTCCTGTGCTGCTCCCACATGGCATAGTCTCTCAGAGTGATGGGGACCTCCAGGATCCCAATCAATGTCCCCAGAATCCCTCTTAATGTTCTCAACAGCCAGCTTCGCATGAGCTCTTCCCCTCCAGAGGCTGGGGACATTCTACTATTGTGTCACTCTGGTTGTTAGAAAGGTTCACCGCACCCCTTGTTTGCCCTCTGGAGCCACACAGAATGAGTCTGCTCTCCCTTCCCCATGGCAGCTCTTCTGCCTTTTAGATGACTGAGGGATGACAGAAGGAGCACACACTTGGGGGACAGAGACATGGGGTCCAGTCCCAGCTCTGCCACTTACTTGCTGGGTGGCTCTGAGATTATGTAAGTCTTTTTTGAACCCTGTTTTCATAATCTGTAAAAAATGAATGAAAACACCTACCTTTCAGAATTGTGTGGGGCCGTGTGGAAAGCATCTCACCCATAGTGAACACACAATACATCCTGCTTCTCTTCCCTCCTGCTCCAGGGCACAGCTTCTGGGGTTCTTAACTGCTCTTTGGGGAGGAGGTTTGGAGGCTGCCCCACCCTCCTCTCTGCTACTCTGGGAGTGCAGGGTGCTGACTGTTCACGGGGGCCAGCATCCAGGGATGGATGGTCATAACTGCCAGGAGTCCTTCTTCTGCTGCGAAACAATCTTAGCTTTCAGTCCTTCCCTGCCCAACTTTGGGCCTTCTTTCAGCTGGGGCACGCCCTCTCCTCTTTGGGGGAAGTACTATCATCTCTTACTGCTGAAGAGGGAGGCCTCTCCACCACTCCCTGCCTCCCTGGCCTCACTGTGCCTGTTGGCCAGCTGGAACTCTCCTTGCCCAACTACACAAACCCACGGATGCTAATGCTTTTGCTTGGCATAGAAATGCCACCTTATTTTTAGCTCTGGCTCTGTCCATCACACTACACCCCTCTCCACATGAACTTGTCCAGATCTGCTAGTTGTTTTCCCAAATCCTTAGAGCCATGACATTTACATGGGCTCTGTCCACATTTCTCTTCCCCTTCCCCAGTCACCCTGTTTGCTTATACACACATGTTCCTGCTACAAACACTCTCCAAAATGTCTCCCCAAAGGTCCCACCATGATCCTGAAACGTAGGTGTTTTCTTTCCTTTTTTACAAGTGGGTACTTGCTGTTTCCCACTCCTGTACCCACCCCCATCCCTCCCTCCAGCAGAGAGGAGCAGTTCCAAGAAAATCAAAAGCTGGAGGGTCAAGGGAAGATGGTGGGAGGGAGACATTATTTGCTTCTTGGCCTGTAAGGACAGCTGGAAGGGTATGTTTATGCACCCCTGCTGCAGGCACGCAGTAGACACACACACACACACACACACACACACACACACACACACACACACACGGTGTCCTGCCTTCCACGACATGGGGTTGGATGTGGCTGGATCAGCTGGCTTTTTGAGGCCAAAGTGGTTAACCCAAAGATTACTACACTTTCCCTCTCAATTTAAATTTAAGATGAACAAACAAACAACCCATTTTGGAACAAAGAATCTTAAGCCAACAGTGACACAGAAACCCAGGCATCTAAATTGAGACACGCAGCGTTTCCCCTGGCTTGGAAGAGTACATTCATCTCTCTTGAGGTCAGCTGGGTTCTAAGCATCTTTAGCATGGATTTCACTGTCAGCTCCTTCTGAGGACTATTCCACTTCTAAGCTTAGATTGGATGTCCCTTGAGGACATGGGACATTTTGTTCTCATTCCTTTTTTATCCCTAGTTCCTCAGGGTAAAACCCAAATTCCTTAGGGCCTACATAGAATGCCCATACCACATGGTGTTTCTGCACCCCTCGCCTCCTCCGCCAACACACATACCTTGGGCTCTTGGATGTTTCTTGAAATGGACAGGCACACTCCCCATCTGGCCTTGGCACCTGCTGTTCTCCGCCTGGATCCCTCTCTCCCAGAATCCTTCCTTCTTTGGGACCTCTGCTCCAATGTACCCTCCTATGATGGCATCTTGACCTTATGTATGACCCAGCCCAGCCCACCCACGAGTACCCGAGCCCCTTTCCCTCTTTTTTGCTCTCTCCATTGACCTTATCATCACCTGACATGATACACATCGATTTTTCAGTCTTTGTCTCCTTCCACTTGAATGTAAACTTTATGGAGGCAATGGCTGTTCCTTTTGTTTGCTGCTGTATCTCCAGGACCTAGCCTGGGCCCACAGCAGGTGTTAATACTTATTTGTTGAAAGGGAAATGAGTGCTCATGTGTGTAGATGGATGAGTGACTTGCAGCGGAAGCTTCTCAGCCAGGACAGCTGGGCCTCTGGATAAGGGCATTGTCAAGGGGGAGCAGAGCCCACGCGGCCTCCCTCTGAGGGTTGGTTGAGTGGCCACCTGCTAGCCAGGCAGGACACTCAGAGTGGGAAGGCTGGTGTGCAGGCGCTCCCAGGAGACTGTGCGAGGCCTGGTCAGAGGTGAAGGGGTCCCTGGCTCAGGAGCCAGCCATTCCTGCCCTTCCCTTCCTGTCCAGTGAGTCAGCCAGGCTGGGGAACTGTGCCAGGGAGGTGTTCTCTGCCAGGAGTACAGCAGGGTCAGTGGTCAACAAAACAAGAACTTGCTCATTCATTCCTCCCACTCTGCCCACCAGAGCTGCCTTTTCTGTGTCTCCCATCTCAGCCTTGTTCAGTACATACCTGTTACAGGTTGCATTGTGTTCCCCCAAATGCACATGGTGAGGTTCTAATCCCCCAGTACCTCAGAATGTGACCGCAATTGAAAATCGGGTCATTGCAGACATAATTAGTCGTTAAAATAAGGTCATACTGGAGTAGAGTGGGCCCCTAATCCAACATGACAGTGTCCTTATAAGAAGAATGCCATGTGAACATGGAAAAATTTAGAAGACATTTGCTAAGTGCAATAAGCCAGACACAAAAGGACAAATATTATATAATTCCACTTATGAGGTACTTGGAATAGTCAAATTCATAGAGGCAGAAAACAGAATAGTGGTTACTAGCAGTTAGGGGGAGAGGGAAATTGGGACTTATTGTTTAATGGGTACAGAGTTTCAGTTTGGGATGATAAAAGTTCTGGAGATGGATGGTGGTGATATTTGCACACCATTGTAAATGTGCTTAATGCCACTGAACTCTATACTTAAAAATGATTGAAATGGTACTTTTTTTTTTTAAAAGGTTTTATTGGGGAATTGAGGAAAGGGAACAGTGTTGGGGAATTGGCGAAGGGGAACAGCCAAGTTGTTGTCCTTCAGTCTTAGTTGTGGAGGGTGAAGCTAGCTCAGCCCCAAGTCCAGTCGCCATCCGGCTGCCTGTCGGCAGCTCGTGGCTGCTCAGCTCAAGGTGCGTGTTCAGTCTTAGTTGCGGGTAGGTGTAGCTCACCATCCCATGTGTGAATTGAACCAGCAACCTTGTTGTTAGGAGCTCGTGCTCTCACCAGCTGAGCCATCCTGCCACCTGTTGGCAGCTCAGCGGCAGCTCAGCTCAGGCACAGCTCACTGGCCCATATGGGAATCGAACTGGTGACCCTGTTGCTCAGAGCTCGTGCTCTTAACCAACTGAGTTACTCGGTTGGCCCTTGAAATGGTACATTTTTGTTGTGTATATTTTAACACACACACATATACATACACATGAATGCCATGTGAAGAGAAAGAGACATGTGCAAAGGGAAGACATTACAAAGACACAGGGAGAATGCAATCTACAAGCCAAGGAACACCAATGATTGCCAGTAAACCACTGGAAGCTTGGGGGAAGCATGGGACCATTCGGCCTATAGCCCTCAGAAGGAACCAACCCTGCCAACAGCTTGATTTCAGACTTCTGGCCTCCAGAACTGAGACAATTCATTTCTGTTGTTTAAGCTCCCCCCGCCCCCCAGTCTGTGGCACTTTGTTATGGCAGCCCCATGAAACGAATACAGTGGTCCCCCTTACCCATGGGGATTATGTTCTAAGACCCCAGTAGATGCCTGAAACCGTGGGTAGTACCAAACCCTATACATGCTATGTTTTTTCCTATACATACATACCTGTGATAAAGTTTATAAATTAGGCACAGTAAAATATCAACAACAACTAATAATAAAATAAAACAATTATAATAGTACACTGTAATAAAAGTTATGTGAATGTGGTCTCTCTCTCTCTAAAAATATATTGTATATCACTCACTCTTCTTGCCATGATGTGAGATGATTAAATGCCTACATAATAAGATGAAGTGAGATGACTGATGTGGCATTGTGATGACTGACCTTCTGACAGTATATCAGAAGGAGGATTAACTGCTTGGAGTGATCCTGGGTTGTCAAGCCATGACGATGTTGATGGTTGGATACCAGGAGCAGATGATGTCGGTGGTTGGGGAAATTTACTATTTTCGGACCATGGTTGACTGTGGGTAGCTGAAACCACAGAAAGCAAAACTGTGGCTAAGCGGGGACTACTATACAATACCTCTCCTGGCTCATTAATGCTTCCTCTCCGGGTATCTTGGTTTCTGGAATTCTGATGACTCTTCTGCTTTGGGCCATCTTTTATTCTATTTGTTCTCTTGGTTGCTCCTTTTCTCCCTTGCCTCCCTCCCCTTCTCTCCTTCTCTTTTTGGTCTCATCACACTATTATTACTTGTTCAGTATCTGTCTTCCCAATCAGACTGTAGGTTCAGGAAGCCAGGAACCTTCTGGGCTTATTTGCAGTTTTCTCAATGCTTGCTCTCTGGGGGCACTCAGTGAATGAATGAATACATGCAGGAAGAAGGAAGGAGTGAGTCTCGTCCTCCTGGGCCTGGTCAGAGATGCTCTGACAAAATGCCTGTGCTTATAATGAGCAGGGGCAGCAGAGTCCCCCTTGTGACCATGCCAGCTGGCTGGGACCTCTCCTGGGTGGGGTGAGTACTACTGCATAAAGTCCTGCAGAGACCGCTTAGGCATCCCTGGTGCTCTGAGGGCAGGGCAGGGACCCGGTGGATGAAACCTTTTCCTTAAGTTCACTCAACTCAAATACATCCCTTGTCCAGTAATAGAAAGGTCAAGGAGAAAGTCCCCCATGTTAAATAAGGCAGAGCCTGGAACTGGAGTGGGAGAGAAAAGTACGGGATGGATATTGGGGTACACGTTTCTTTCTCTTTCTCTTTATTCCTGCCCCACCCTGCTATGTGTGTGGGAGAAAAAAAAATAGAGGGGGTTAGAAGGAAACAAAAGTCTTCTCCTCATCTTTTATTCATAGATTGGATAAATATTTATGTCCTGACTGTGTGCTTGATACTGTGGTCAGGCCAAGGATGGAGAGATGGATAGACCAAATCCCCAACCTTAAGGAGCCCACAGTCTGCACAAGGAGACAGACAAGTGAACCCTCCTAGAACAAGGCCATGGCTGTGCTAATGGGGTCTATGGAGGTGACTGTGGGAGCAGAGAAGATACTCTGAGCACAGGACTTGGTGAAGGCTGCATGAAGGAGGTGCCATCAGAGGAAGGCCTTGAAGGATGAATTGGAGTCTGACATGTAAAGAAGGGGAGAGGGTGGGGGATGGGGAAAGCATAATGCAAGCAGAGATAGCACCTGGAAAAGTGGGGAGTTGTAAAAGGGCTACTATATAGGTCTGGGGTAATGGACTTGGATACAGGGATAGTGAGAGGCGACTAATGGGACCTGAGGTCA